CGAGGAAGCCCAACTTTGTCAGGGTAGTCCCAATCAACTCAGCACACCACCAACTAACATAAGCCTTTTCCCCATGAAGAGAAACCTGAAGAATTTTCCAAGGAGAAACTCCCTGAAGAAACCTGGGAACTGCCATGATGACCGCTATGCTGCAAGAGAAGGAGAAATCTACCAAAATTAAAGCCAAAGAGTGACAAGTCACGTGATCCCCTATATGTACAGATGTCAGGTGGCTCCCATATTTCCGGACTTCCATTGGTATATCCCCCTTTTTTTGAGGAACGACTGCTGGCTAGGGGAAGAAATGCAAACGTGGCCATTTGCCCAAGATTTCCTCCTGACAAACAGCCGCCGCGTGCGTGCGGACTTGCCGGGTAACCACAGCAAACCCGCCGTACTCCAGAATCACTACAGTTACCGCACGCGCGTGCGGCAACTCCACCGGCCGAGAGGCCCGGTGCATTACCTGCAAACCTCAGTCCATCCATACGGTGCACGTGCAAGGTCCGGTGCGTCAAGGGCACCCAGGAAGGAAACACAAAGCCTTACGGCACATGCCTGACCGATGAGGAGCTATAAAACCTCTTTTGACTTCACCGTTTGAAACCTAGCATGGTCCTCAGGCTTTCCGTTGCACGGCACTGAACTAATTTAAGAATTTTTGAGCAGACGTAGCGTGGCTGATTCCAACTGCTTTTCACGCAACAGATGCAATCATTGCTATATTGATCTGGCAATATATCACCTTTTCCCCAAGAGTGACAGCTCTGCCCTTTAAACAACGGGACTTTGTACTCCGTATTAAAAGCGGTCTGCCTCCCGATTTCCAAGTTTTTCTCTCAACAGAGGAAACAAGGACATATTATCAGCAGTTTTGTGCAATATATAGTCTCTCAATTATCTATAGAGAAGCATCACTATTAAATACTCATCTTCTAATTTATAGCATGTACTTGCAGCTAATTAAAGTCAGATGATCACTAGCTATGAAAGATTAAATTCAATGCTTAGGAGACTATTGCCTTTGATGTTATGAGATCCAGCTTCTAATTGACTAGGACATCAGTCAGCTCATTATGAAGCCTCAGTAATCTGCTGCCTATATCAGCTGTGGTACAAACTGAAGTTTAGCCGGCCTAGCGCAGAAATGCAGAGTCACTTTTTTTTTTTGATTTGCTGGCCGTTTGGGGAAGCACCGGCAGACAAAAATCGGAGAACCTGCAGTTTCCTTCAGGGGATTTTGAGCATCGCTTGCTGCCCCGCTTCTCTCGTGCACACCGAGGGAGGCTACAAGAGGAAGGTGGCCCAGGGTCCTGCAAAGATGAGCCTTTTATCCCGTAACCTAACGCGAGGAGTCACTTCCATAAAGATACATAAAGAACTATAGCAGCCTACGGAAGAGGTGCGTTTCCATTGACACGCACGCACAAACATGTGGGCACATCATGACAAAGCGGCAATAAAATAGCACGGCTTCTCTCCCAGATTAATTATTGTTTTCTGAAGCTTGTAGCGTTTTTGTCACCGCTGTTTTAGCATCGAAAGGTCAGCTCTGCCGATGTCTCTTCCCCAAGACAAGCGCTAGAAACCTGGGCAGGACGCTGAAGCAATGACAGTTAAACTGAAATTACAGCAGTAGCCCAAATTGCACAGGAACGGTAATCAGCATTAAGACGGTAAGCTGCTTAAAGAATACAGATCCATTTGTATCTCAGAGGAGGAAAAGCTGCACAAAGTGGCTATTACGATTCTTGATTCACTCTATACCTGGCTGTACGACAACAGTTGCTGACCTTTCTTCTGAAGACAAACAAGGCTCTTACTTTCGATATTGATGCTTTCCGCAAATTGCCACCTACACCTTAATTTACTGATTCTGGATTGTTGCTCCTCATCTTGCCAGATGCTCCACTCTGGTGCAATCGTCTTTCTCCATAACTACTGCCTGCCTTCAGGCGGTCCTTCACCCCTGTCCCAGGAGACAGGGCAGGGTGATAGTTTCCATTTCACAGAAAAAGAGGAGTTCAGCGACTCACCTGAGACCACACCGTAACCAGCACAGTCAGAAGCACAACTCGCTGTTTTCCTTCCTGTATCCACCACTGGGAAGAACACCGCTATGTGTTGTGAAGCTCCCAAACTGGGAACAACAGGGAGCAATGACGGCGCGCTGATGTGCAAGTGTACACAGGCGGCGTAACCATGCGTTGTTCCCCCATACACGAACGGATAATTTGATTGCAATCCAAAGGGAAAATGAGGAAGAATATCATCTCCCTCCCTTTACTTCCATGGGCTCCTAGCACAGGCCCAGATGAGCACGCACTTACCCACAATTACCTATCCAGAAGGAGAAGGAAATGGAAAGGTGAGGAAAAATAAAGGAGTCAAAGGAGCAACTTAAATTCTCAAGATGAAGCAAAGTTGCCATAGAAACTTGCTTTTCCCATGGTGCCGCTCAACTTGATGGAAGCGACAGGTTTCTGATGCATCCTGCGCCGCTTAATACTTTTTCCAGGCAGCAAGCTATCGCCTGCCAGAAATAAATCACGCAGTGTGCCCCAGGTAGAGGGAAGCTTTTCACCCTCTGGAAAAGCCCTTTGGCAGGACCGAAGCGCTGCCATGGCTGGGTATGATACTACACATCTGCTTATGTCTTCCTATATCGACAGACTGACTCTGTGAAACAGGTGTTTATATACCTTACCAGAAGCACGGGGTCTGAGAGGGGGCTTGACCCATGCGAAGGGTCGGCAAACAGATCTGGGGACTCCTGTTTCTCCAGTGCACATTAACAGGTTTGACTTAAAAGGCTCCGAACTTGGAATAACTTGGAATAGCAGTTTTTCAGGTAACTGCAAAAGCAGAATTGCTGCCCGGTTACCATCCCCCTCACTTCAGCCCAAGACTTCCTTTAAGGAAGGTGATTACTCACGGTGGGAACTGAACGAGAACACACAAATCTTCATTTTTTAGATGCCTGTTACGCTACAGTCTATTACATTGTATTATTTGAAATGGCTGCTGTGTGATTTTATATTTATATCTGTGATTTATATATATATCTACGATTAGATATATATATATCTGTGATTTATATCATCAAGGATTTTATAGTTTTGTTACCGACTTGAGCCTCTCGGTTAACAGGAATCTGGGCCGAGAAAGGGGCGTGCAAACGCAGCTTTCTTCCCCATTTCTTCGGTGTAGCTCTTCCTTAGGAACAAGGCCATCCGGCATCAGCAGCATTCACCCCTACAGATTGATTAATGAGCTACCCCGCGAGTCAGTCATTGATTTTTAGAGACTTTGGGAAGTTTAAAACTCATCAGGAACCAATTGCTGCAGTTGTAAGAAGGCTGCCAAGCCGGCTGACACGGCAAAGGATAAAAAAACCCATCAAACAACTCCCTTATGCTACTGGTTGCGCCTGCGATGCACCCGCCAGATCTAGCTGCTTCTCGCTTTGCTTCCTTCACTTTACTGGGACAATCGAAGAACATCCCTTCAGAACCCCCCGTCACAGCTATTGAGACATCTCTGCCTGACATTTCCCTTCATTTCGCAACTTTGCTGTTCTTCCAAACAGCAGTGTCACAAATGTTCTCACAACTGACAACTAAATGAGGCTTCATCTTCCAGCCAGCTCCTCACCATCCCTGGCAGATACCAACAAGGCATCCTCCCACCCCCTCTTCAGAGACCCTTGCTTACCCTCACCGAGTCCTCCCGCTTCTTTTCTAGCTCGTAGCCATGACAACAGGAGGATGGACGGCATCCTGCCTCACAGAGACGCTGGGGACGGGCATTTGAACATAAAACTTCTGAAAATCCCAAGCCACACTAAAGTGAAGCGCCTGTTTCAAGGACTTCACGCAATTTTCGTACACAATTCCTTTTTTTTGGTGTTTTTTTACAAGAATCTGCTTGTGATGGTAGGATTTTGAAGCAGGAATCCCAGCAGAACAACCATCCTACATTCCCTTCCGTAGGGGGACTGCTTTTTATTTGAACCCAGGCTTGCAGGTGTGTTTCTGAAGCTATCAGATGCCATTCTCCTTTCGCTTCCTCCGCTCCCAACTTTAGTACGACCAGCAGCGTTGCGTTAGAAAAATCATTATCGCTCAGTTCAGAGAAGGGCTCATCCTTATGCAGCGCACAGCTATGGAACATTAAATCCCAATCAAACGCTAGCTCCCGCTTTAAAGTCACTCTACCTCCCTCCAGTTCCTCACAAACAAAAGCTTGTCAGCAGAAAGGCAGATAATCAGAAACTCAGCCACCCCTGCACGGGGGAGCAGGCTGTCCACTGAGACCTAATATCAAATAGTTATTCCCAAGTGAATTTGACCAAATACACTCCAGCGGAAAATTGTGAAATACACACGAAATACATAACTTAAAACTTTTTGGGCAGTGTCCAGTTCATACCAGTGAGTTTTATCCCCAAGGGACCACAAAAAGTGGAGAAAAGGAACCCCGCAGCGACCGACAATGGGCTGGAGGTTTGGCATATCATGGCACGACCACATCCCCACAGGCAGAATGTTGCTTTGGGCACCTCGTAGCTTTGGGCATCTTGTTTTTTTTTGCCTCTCTTCCCCGTATCTTTAAGTAAAATAATTACACTTAATCAGCATAAAAGGTAACTAAAATCTCCATCTCAATTTCCTTAAATGTTAACAACTAAGATATTGTTCATCAGCTTCGCTTGGCCCATTAAACTGGACTATGAAACTTAATTATGTCTGTAAAGAGTTTAGAGATCCTCAAGAGGCAGCACAGAAGCAGATGTATTATCAGTTTTAATAGCGTAACTCCCCAACAATGGGAGTTTAACGAGCAATGTCTAAGGCAACCATCGTCTCCTCATCCCCTCATTTACGTGCTGGCGAGGATCGCTCTCGTTACACGGCATATGTCAGACTCTGCTACCCTTTTTTCTTACTTCCTCTACCTACTTCACAGAAGTACGAGCATGGGTGTGCGAGCAGGGTTACCTGTACACTAGTATGTCGTCAGCAGAACTGTTATACTGAATCTGGTACATTCGAATCCCAGGGAGGTGATGCTGAGAAGGCCACTGGATAAGAGCGGAGGACGACGTCAGCTCGGCCACCACCACCGCCTTCTCTTGCTGAGCCTTCGTTTCATTGGGAAAGCTTGACTTGGCGGATATGAGGATATCTGAGGGGCCGGGCTCCGCGTCTTTGTCGCAGTTGGTGCTGTTAGCGAGGTTGGGGTACGGGGTAACGAGGAGTTCGACTGGAGCCGTCGACTCTCCCGCGGCATTTGATGCTATGCAGGTAAACGTGCCCTTGTCCGTCAAAGAAGTAACCAAAATATCCAGAGTACCGTTCTCATACGAAATAGTCCTAGACGTGTTAGAGACCAGCTTCCCGTCGGGTGAGATCCAGCGAACGTAGGGATCTGGATCGCCGACAGCTTTGCACTTCAAAGAGATGCTTTGGCCTTCCGTTGCTGTTAGCTTTGGGGTCCGATGCGTTATCATCGGGGGTTCGCAGACAAACTCCTCCTCTTTAATAGACCAAAAGTATTTGCCCATCAGTTCTGGTGGAGAGGCGCAGGTCTCTAGATCGTCTTCTCTGGTGAGACGTCTCAGCCACACGAGTTCGCAGTTGCAGTGCAAAGGATTCCCTCCGAAGCTAAGCACCAGGGACGACAGCGGAGATCCTTTAGACTTGGCGTACACCGGTATTCTGGAAAACAAAGGATCGGGAGGGATCTTTTTCAGCTTGTTGGAGGTCATGTCTAGACGGGCAAGCTTGTGAAGGTTTGAGAAGATTCCCTCCGGCACAAACTCAATGAGATTATGGTCCAGACTGACCGTATTGACATTGGAAAGTTTGGCAATTGTTTCCCAAGGAACGTTAACGAGATTGTTGTAGGACAGGTCCAGGTCTTCAATTGTTTCAATAAAGTCATCCAATGACCCAGGAGAGATATAGTTTAATTGATTGTTACTGAGTATTAAATGCCGAAGGTTAATTAAACCTTTGAAATGGTCTTCGTTGATGTAAGTCAGTCTATTACTATCCAAGTGTAAGGCATGAAGGCCTTTAAGATCAAAAAATGCATAAGGCATGATTTGACTTATTGTATTCCTCGATAGTGTCAAGTGAATGAGATTGGTCATGTTTGCAAAATCTTTTCTCCTAAGCGTAGTGATAAAGTTATCCATTAACCTTAGTTCTGCTGTTCTCCTGTCAATACTGGGGGGCACAAAGAGGAGCCCCGTCTTCGTACAGAGAATTGTGAAGGATGGAGACAGGTTTTGACACATGCATCTTTTGGGACACATCATGGCCTTCACGGCTGTGCTAATAACCAGTAGATAGACAACCAGCCTTTCCATCGTAAGAAAAATAACAGACCTAAAGGGAGGGAGAAAAAAAAAAACAAAAACAAAAAAAAAGAAGAAATCCATGTCAATATATTTTAATTGGGCATTAGAAACAGGTTTACATCGAAGTTTTTGGTACAAGTCCACCTGTGCACACTGGGAACACCTTCCGAGGCAACGACAAAATTACCTGCTGGTATTAACTCCGATGTTTTCAGAGCTTCTAGTTCTGTGCTTGTTTAGCCCCACTTTCCTCCCGACAGCAACGTTTTAGATTGACTGTGAGGCAACAGTCCCTCACCCCTGCTGCTCTGGGATGTGCTAACAGGGTTGTCTACCCACTAGCAGCTCTTCACAACCAACAGCGCTGACAGTTGTACGTCAGGAGGTGGGACAAAGCAAGACGTGAGGCTGATGCTTGGCGAGAGGAATGTGAGGGGGAAAAGCAAATAAAGACACAAGATTTTTTAGGTTAAAAGCACCATCTACATAACTTTCTCTAAGCAGATCTGGCTGTTTGCTGGGGCCAAAACCTCATTTCACCCTGCATATCACTTCACTACTTTGTGATTACGCTCCCCTCCCTTTTTTTTTTTTGCCATTACACCTTTTTTTGGCTTACCCCTCGAGCTCATCTGTGCCCCTCTGAGGAGCGAGCTCTTTGCAGAAATGCGCATTTTAAGGACAAAGGGTTTTTTCCCCAGGAGGTGTCAGAGGTCTAAAACTTCTACAGCAAATAAGGAGGAGAAATACCTTCAAAGGCATTTCTGAAAAGCACGGCCCTGTTCCATCGGAGAAGCAGGTATATATTTTTTTTTTCTGTGCAGCACAGGTAGCAGCTTTAGAAAAATAAATTCCATAAGTGCACATGGTTTTGGGCAATGAAATTATCTCCGCGAAACCTTGTGTATGCCAAGTTATTTCCCATTGTATCCGAAGTGCTCGCCTGCTCTACCAAGGGTAGACTTTCATTTCTGCTTTACCTCCAGCTGGCTGGGAAATTACTAAGCATTAAGTGACTCAAGCAACTCACGAAGGCTAAACCTCCCAATCTGCAATGTAAAGGACTCAAACGACACGCTTCGCGCAAGTGGCCTGGTACAACCCAATTCCAACCTCCAGCTGGCAAATCCCGCTCCAAAAGGAGGGCTGTGGTCTTTCTGCAAATGAGCACGTGTAGTTTTACCTCACAGATACGTTCTAGCTCACTGGACATCGCAGCAGATTAGTGTCATGTGACAATTCCATCATAAACGCAGTGTAAAAATAATCAACGACTGCCTTTGAGGACACGCAACGCAACGTAAGGCATGGTCCTCGTGCCTTATGACAGCATAATCTGCTGAGTCAGCTGCAAAAAAGACTACCAAAGCCTTTGGTAGGGCACAATTTGCTGTAAATCATCAGATTCTTCCAGGAGGTTTGTTTGTGGGTTGGGTTTTTTTTGTGGTTTTGCTTTACTTTAATGATTTCCATGAGCTAGAGCTGCTTTACAGGGCAACAGGTCTTGAAGACACAGAATTACAGTTGCAGGGACTGGAAATTAGTTTGGTTAGATCAAATTTAAAGCTCCACAGAGGGGGAAAAAAAGTTATTAGGATCAACCCTTTGCTTATACAGTGTTATTACTTCAATTTGGAGAGCACAAAACTCAGTCTAAGCCTTTTAACCAGTGCTACGCGTTCACTTATTAGAGGTTAATCTTTAGTTGTACACGATTCTGACCAAGTCTCTGCAAAGCAGGTTGCAAAAAAAGAAATGAAAAAGAGACAAGCCAATCAACCAAACCCTCTCCAAAACCTCTGAACGCTTAGAGGACAGATGGTGTGGAAGGCTGCGAGGAGGGAAGAGTCTGGAGAAGAGAAGGCTTTGGTGGACCCTGTAGTAGGAACCTTCTCGTATCTCCAAGGAGTTTATCAGGGAGATGGAGCCAGGCTCTTCACAGTGGTTCATGATGGGAGACCAAAAGACAACGGGCAGAAATTAATACGATCAAGGTTCAAGCTGGATGTGAGGCAAAAAACCTTTGTGAAGCAAAGGTTGGGGGAGCTCCATTCTGGGATGAGGTGACTGGAGAACGTCCTGATCGCAGAGGGCTTTCAGACTCCAGACCCTTGGGCTCCTTCCCACCGCTGTTACCCTATGACCTAATAACAGTGAATATATCTCCACATTTTTCACATTTCAGCTGTAGCTCTACGACCTGTAGCCTCTGCCTGCCTGATTTTTAGGGCTGGTTTCCAATTCCAGCTCTGAACATCCCTTTTTATATTTGAGAGTGCCGGTTCTATGGAGAAAAAGATAAATTTTCTGTTAAGAAGAGCTGAGTTAGGAAAACAAATCCGACAGTAGCGTTTGCACAAAGCTTTATAGTTCAAAGCACACAGTTCACTTTATATTCCTTTTTTTTTCCCCTAATAAGCATCCTTCTAGTAATGTCTTGCTTCCTGATCGTTTATTCTCAACAGCTTTTATAACAGTTAATAGAGTCCTCCTACAAGCTTTATCTTAACAAATATTTGCTTTTTTAAGAAACCCATTTCTGCTGTCACGCCATCCTGCGCTCCGCACCCTTCTTGCCTCTAATGGCTCCGTCTTTTCACTCCTGCTTAGGTACAAATGATTAACGGATGCGCAATTAGCCAAAACCCAAGCTGCTGTGCAACACTGTAATTCCCTTGTTTTGTCATTAGCAAATATTAATGCAATTTTAATGGATTAACTGCCATCTGGGCTGTAAGAAACTAGTACAAAACCACGTCACTCAAACAATTATTCTGCTAAAAAATAATTAAATGTTACTAACGTGAAACCATGGCACTAAAATTAATGATTTTAGAGCCAACAATGAACGTAGTGCAATTACTCTTACAAACTACGTAACCGTCGCAAGGAAATTTGTAAAGAAAAGCTGCGTATAAGCGAGTTCCCGCTGTTGCTCACCTAAAAACAGCGTCAGGAACACACCTGACTGCATGACAACACAGTAGTATTTTTAAAGACAGTTTAATCCACTCCACCTCGACAGAAGGCAGTAAAAGAAATAAATTTCACGCTTATAAGACTACCCACAGATCTAGGACACAGGGGAAAGAAACTTCTCGGAACTGTTGCTCATCGACTCACGTCCTCCGTTACCATCTGCCCGGTTGTTGTTCACGCAACAAAAATCGGTTTGAGGTGGTCATTTCATTCCAAAGTAATAAAGACTTCGAGAACAGAGTAGTTCCAGTTGGAAAGGACCTACGACAGGGGGGGTCGTAGAGAGGCAAGTTCTCCTACAGCACAACATAAACTAGATTGCCGCTGGCTGTCGTTTGCAGCCTGAATGATATTTAAAGGAAGGGATGTTGAATTCCACCGATTCGCAGCTACTGGCCTATGAACTTTTTTCTGTTGGAGAGTTCAGGTCGCCTTTGCTGCAAGGAGAACAGATTTTCGACAGCTTTAAATCGGCACCACGGCACAGAGCTTTCTCCCGCTCTGCAGAATACGCACGCGGCGTGGAAAACGACGCGTAAAGGTACAATTTTACCAGCTTGATGGAAGAAACGCCGTCTTCCAAAAGCATGGTCCTTTGCCACGTGCCTTTTGCTGGGGAACGGCCCCTTTCTTGGATGCAACACGCATTCATTTCAGCGTCATCTCTCACCTTCTCTTGCACCTAGCTATTCATTTCACTGTAATAATTAGCAAAATATATTCCAGTACGTTGTTTCCAGTCTACGCTTTACGCTGGATCTATTTGGCGCTCACCCGCACCTTTCAGCGGCGTTTAAGGGATGTACCTATGTCCAGTTTTTTTGGTTCATCCTCCGCTGAATTGGGTTCAGGACTCACATGTAGGACATCCTCTCCAACCGTTCTACCCCCGGGCTCGCACCACGCCTAATACCGTCCTCACCTTCGCCTCTTCGAAGACACGGCTTGAGCAGAAAAAGCACGCGCTAAAGGCTCGCTGTTATTCTCTTGTCTACACCATTTCATGGCCCAGCACTGGCCTCACAACATCCCCTGAATACCAAAGCTGGAGCTGCATCAGCTCCGAATCATACTCGGGTCTTTCTGAAGGAGATCGTGGCTCCCTACGGTACAGAAACAGCAATATACAGAGGGTGGCAAATAGGTATTAAACCCAGATAATTCATACCCTGTTTCTTACATCCTCATCACACAGAAACACAACCTGAGGTATTTCATCCACTGTTTTTCTTCAGGGAAGCTTTATTATTACCTTTTGCTGAGCCAGAATTAACCACCACATCGGAAAAAAGTCTCTTTAATTTGCCAACAACTAATAACTAATAATTTAGTGTCGCTTCCCCCCCCGTAAATGAGCAAGAAACACTTCCAATAAGTGGTTAAGAAGTATCTTGCTAATTTTCCTTCATTTTTTTTTCTTTTCAAAGGCTACTGGGAGTACATCTCTAGGCAAGGAGCAAATTAGCTGCAAATCCGGTAGCCAGCATTTCTCTGCACCCAAATCACCATAATTAATATTAATACTAGGATTTTTTTTCATAGTTTTTTTTCTTATTTTAAATCTAGTTCACAGCATAGTAGGAAACCCAAACCATTTAATATTAAAAAACCCCAAAATATAGACTATTTATTCTTTTTCCTGACGTTATTTTTCAGACACATCAGCTATGCAAGTGAACTCATTTGCCTTTTCCTTTATCGCCAGGAGGTGGCACAAATAACATCCACAAGTGCATGGTTATTCCCTGCCACTCCTCAAGTCGCTGGCACTGGGGAAGCGTGTTTAAAATGCACAAAAATCACTACGGCGGTGCAGAGTAAGAAAACCAGAAGCAAAAGCACAGCAATAACTTTCATCTCCCTGGTCACTTCTGCCTCACCTATTTCGGTCATCTGCCAAGTGTAGAGGCAGATGAAAAATCTGAAAAAAATCTTTGTTTGCTTGTGTTCCTGTTGGGTTTTTTTGGTTGTTGTTGGTTTTCTCCCCTCCAAAAAAAAAACCCCAAAATCTAAGTTTTGTCTCATTTCCTAAACTTTAGTGT